GGGTGGAGAAGTTTTCTGAAAGTGGTGGAGAGAGGGCGCGAGGAATGTGGAGATGAAATGGTGAACGAAAGAAAGTAGGACTCGATTAGATATGGAAGTTGAGAGATTAACCATTTTGAAACCCACAATTAACGGGATACGCGCGTCATTTAATTAAAAAAATAATTGTTTAATTAAAATGATAAAAACCTGAGAAATGAAAAAAAAACGTGAAAACCTGACTTTTTAAAATGCTAAAGAAAAGGCCTGGTTTCATGTAATTTCCACTTAGTTAAATGGAGTAGTCTATGTAAAAAAACATGCTAAACCAAATTATTGTCGAGAGTATTGCTTGCAATGATATAATGAACTATAAGCTGTTTAAAAGTGGTACAACTGTTACAGAACTGTTTACACTACAAAAGACCACTCATGCTGCATATCGAGTGCTAGGTTTATTTTTATTTTTATTTTTTTGGTGCCTTGGGGGATTTTTGCAGGGTGATTTGGGCAACATCTCATTTTATCCCCGAGTGTGATGATGATATATCTTGTAAAAAATCAACCAATCTATTATTGGGAAAGAAAGTAATCTCATGATCGAAGTGTTTTTAGTTGCGAGAAATGTAGTTATGTTCCAGGTCGTTTAACCTGGATTCATACTTTATGCTATGGTTCTGAGCAAATAGAAGGAAATTTACTCTTTGTTATGCAATGACTGTAATTTGCTTAATATATGTTCAGGGATTGAATGACATGATGAATAGCAGCAGTAAACATTGGGATAAAGAGAATGGGCGAAATTGATGAAAGGCCTTTCTAAATTCATGCAAGCAAAAATTTGCGCCTGAAGAAGCTGAGATCAAGACTGTAGAACTTTGTTCCCTGTGGCAGGAAAAACTAAAAAATCATGAATTTCACCCTTTTAAAATTATACTGGTCGATGGGAAGCACAAGGTGACGTTTATTATTAGAGTTTCATACTCGATCTAATTGTTTCATATAAGTAAAAGTTTGTTTGCAAGAGAACCATTTCAAAATGATAGATGTTAAGATCAGAGTAAATTTGGTAGGAAGTGATGGATGAGGATGATGAATCACTACACGAGCTCAAGGATGAACGGAGTGATGAAATCTACAATGCCGTCACAACAGCTTCGAAGTAATTGAATGAATATAATCCAAGTGGACAGTATGTGGTTCTTGAACTACGGAACTACAAGGAAAACAAGACGGCCACACTATTGGAATTGAACCAGGTTCAATTGGCTACTCCTATAATTTGGCAAAATCGTGTTACTGAAAGTGCAACTTTACTTAAACTAAAGGCCTCACTGGATGATTAACATGTGGACTTATTGCAACTGTTGGATTGACTTCTAGATGGTTCTAATACTTAATTTCATTTCATTTGGCATTATCTCGAGGAGTTACTTTTCTAGGGTTAATCCCATTATCTTGTTTTCTCTCTTTGGCTGCGCCATTTGAAACTTCTTTGTGATTCTTCTTTGTAAATCAAAATCAAATACCTGATTTGAGTTGGTATTGTGTAATAGAGTGATTCCTTAGTGGAGATATTCGGAGTGAATATCTATGTGAAATATTCGTGTGGCTGTGTAATTGATTATGTTGGCTTAGTGTCAGATTCTTTATGATTCGAGTGAATCAGTTGCTGTATTGTGAGAGATAAGTATTCGTGTACTTTCTTTGTGATTCTTCCGAACATTCTTATAACCTTTGTTGCCGATTTGGGCTT